CTTTATAGAACGTAAAGGATAAATGAGAGTCAGAGTCAAGTAACGCTGTGTTCTCTGTGAGTTTAAGCAAGTTCAACCATGAGAATAGGGGTTTTCAATTTTAAAATGAAAGAGTTGGTTTAGATTATTTTTAAAGGCTCTTTGAGGGCTAAAGAGTCTATGATTCTGTAATTCTAGCTTCAGTTGTCAAGGACTCTTAATATTTTAATTTACCTTTCCCTATACATAAAGCTAAACACATCATCTAATGCATAAAGGGAGCCTCCTATTTTGAATAATTCAATCATGACTCCTTTTTCAAAAGGATAATCTATCTTGATATAAATAATTGTCCTGATTTATGTGTTTTCACATCCTATTTTTGGACATTTCAGGAAATAAGTTTTCCTGTGCCTTTATTGAACTATCTTGAGCTACAGGCCTTACAGTGTCTCCCATTCGTCAGACCATTCCTGCAGGGAGATGGTGGGTGTTGTTAATAACCAAATGGGCATTTAGTCTCCATTTGACAGATTTCCCAAGTAGAAGTGAAAAGCTCCCCACAGTAATATGTATTCTGTAAATTGATGTCTTGCTAGAGACAAGATGTCTCCTTCTGAGTAGCTTCTGTAAACGAATACTTATATAACGTCAGTTTGAACTGTATCTGCTGTAGAACTGGGAGATTTGAGGACAGGAAGTTAAACAATGAATGGAAATAAAGGCTTGGACTTGGATGGGGTGGAGAGAGTGAGGGAGCTCAGGAGGCCATGGTGGGAAGTACAAGGACAGATAAGTGAGAGTTATTCCAGGAATCTCAGCTGTATCAAATAGGCATTCATTATGAAGAACATGTTCACATACTTTATTTCATGTTATCTTCACAGTTTATCCTGTATGTTGGGTTCAAAAAGATTAAACGACTTTCTTGAGGTCACACGACTGATAAGAAGAGTAAGGATTTTTATGCAGCTCTGGATACTAGAACTAGTACACTTTTATACTCATTTGCAGTTAACTGTAACACTAGTTTGAGATGACTTCAACAGAAAATAGAAATATGTTGACATTAGGCCTTTAACTCTTAGAAGATCCACATACTTTTCTGCCTAAACTGGGGTGTAGAGGCAGAAAGAAACAGACCCAGAAATGCACCTTACTATGTACTGCAACAGTTATGATTACAAACTACAGACTTTAATTTTTCATAGGCACCTAATGGCTTAGTGGTGAGGAAAGTTCTGACTTGGGCTGAGGATAGAAAAAGATTAAGAAGAAAAGGAAGAAAAAGAGAAGGGGGAGAAGGGAAAATAGCAGAGGGAGAAGGAAAAAGAGGAAGTAGAAAAGGAAGAGCAGGACGAAGAGGAAAAGAAAATTATATTGATCAAGTAGGAAAAGATATTCCGTGCTCTTGGATTGGAAGAGTTAACATAGTTAAGATGTCCATACTTCCTAGAGCAATCTATAGATTCAATGCAATCCCTATCAAAGTTCCAACAACATTTTTCAGAATCCTAAAATTTGTATGGAACAACAAAAGACCCCGAATAGCCAAAGGAATCCTGAGAAAAAAGATGAAAGCTGGAGGTATCACACTCCCTGATTTTAAAACATACTACAAAGCTATAGTAACCAAAACAGCATGGTGCTGGCACAAAAACAGACACACAGACAAATGGAATGGAATCGAGAGCCCAGAAATAAACCCACACATCTATGGACAGCTAATTTTTGACAAAGCAGCCAAGAACATACAATGGAGAAAAGAAAGTCTCTTCAACAAATGGTGTTGGTTGAACTGGACAGCCACATGCAAAAAAATGAAAGCAGACTATTATCTTACACCATACACAAAAATTAACTCAAAATGGATTAAAGACTTGAATGTAAGACCTGAAACTACGAAACTTCTAAAAGAAAACATAGGCAGTATGCTCTTCGACATCAGTCTTAGCAACATATTTTCAAGCACCACCGCGTCTGACCAGGCAAGAGAAACAATAAAAAAATAAACAAATGGGACTATAACAAACTAAAAAGCTTCTGCACAACAAAGGAAACCATCAACAAAACGAAAAGACAACCTAACAACTGGGAGAAGATATTTGCAAACCATACATCTGATAAGGGGTTAATCTCCAAAATATGTAAAGAACTCATACACCTCAACAACAAAAAAACTAATAACCCAATTAAAAAATGGGCAAAAGACCTGAACAGATATTTGTCCAAAGAAGATATACAGATGGCCAACAGGCACATGAAAAGATGTTCAACATCATTAACTATCAGGGAAATGCAAATCAAAACTACAATGAGATATCACCTCACGCCCCTCAGAATGGCTATAATTAACAAAACAGGAAACAAGTCTTGGAGAGGATGTGGAGAGAAGGGAACTTTCATACACTGCTGGTGGGAGTGCAAACTGGTGCAGCCACTATGGAAAAGAATATGGAGATTCCTCAAAAAATTAAGAATAGAACTACCGTACGATCTAGCTATTCCATTGCTGGGTATTTATCCAAAGAAAATGAAAACACCAATGTGTAAAGATACATGCACCCCTGTGTTCATCTCAGCATAAGTCACAATAGCCAAGACTTGGAAGCAACCTAAGCACCCATCAAGGGACGAATGGATAAAGAAGATGTGGTATATATACACAATGGAATACTACTCAGCCATAAGAAACGATGAAATCCAGCCATTTGTGACAACATGGATGGACATTGAGGGTATTATGCAAAGTGAAATAAGTCAGAGGGAGAAGGTCAAATACTGTATGATTTCCTTCATTAAGTAGTAGATAATAACAACAATAAACAAACACATAGGGACAGAGATTGGATTGGTGGTTACCAGAGGGGAAGGGGGATGGAGAAGGGTGAAGGGGCTAATTCGGCACATGTGTGTGGTGATTAGTTGTTATTAGTATTTGGGTGGTGAACATGATGTAATCTATGCAGAAATAGAAGTATAATGATGTACACCTTAAATTTATACAATGTTATAAACCAATGTTACTACAATAAAAAGAAAAAGGGGCCAGCCCAGTGGCGCAAGGGGTTAAGTGCACGCGCTCTGCTGCAGCGGCCCCGGGGTTCGCTGGTTAGGATCCCGGGGGCACACCTACGCACCACTTGTTGAGCCATGCTGTGGCGGCGGCCCATATAAAGTAGAGGAAGACGGGCACAGATGTTAGCCCAGGGCCAGTCTTCCTCAGCAAAAAGAGGAGGATTGGCAGATGTTAGCTCAGGGCCGATCTTCCTCACAAAAAAAAAAGAAGAAGCAGCAGCAGCTCAGACTGGAATGTACTCAATGCTTGGATAGCTGTTTCCTAGACTCATTTCCAAATCTGGGCACCCTTGAGCTCTGCAACTTCTGTAAGTCACTGAGAATGACTCCTATGTGAAGTGGATCCTGGCCTTTAAAGGCCATTCTTCTATGTGTGTTGCTGGATAGGTCTCACTGCTAAAGGGGATAGGAGGAGGATAGATGATGCAAGTCTAGGTTGTCAAGGCCTTTGATGCATGAGAAGCTCCTGATCCCTTTAGGTGATGATGGCCTTGTGCCAGAAAAAGCTTTCCCTATAGGTGGGCCTCATGTTCCAAAACTCCCACTTTGCTCCTCTCTCCATAAGACCCATGATCAACCCTCCTCAGACAGAGGCTGCCTTGTACATAAAAGAGTTTGATAATCTCAAAACTAATTTGACCTTCTAAGCTCCCTGATTTAGCCCACCAAGATTTCTTGTTTTCACATTTTAAAATAAAAATTCTTTTTTTTTTTTGAGATCTTGACATCATGAAATAGGTGGTGACAGACTAATTGTAGCTATAAACATCATCGAGAGTTTATAACGTGAGAAGTAAAATTAATCGCCACTCCTTTCCCACACACACACATTTGCTCACACCATCTAGCACATGAAACCAGACTTGAAGGTGGATTTGCGCTGTGCGTCATCGTGTCATTCCCATCTTAAGAAGTAAATTTCCACAGGCTTTCTTATTCTTGCAGTATCTAATTACAGAACCTCAGAAAGCAACAGGGATCCAAGAGGTGAACTGAATTATTGAAAAAACAGAAGCAAAGAGGGCACAGAAAGCTATTATGTGTATTCATAATAGTTTCACCAAACTTAAGGGTGTTAAGAAGTGAAAGCATTTAATTCGGAAGACAAATATCCTCTTTCATAGTTCTTGGGGAAAAAAATGCTTTCTTTTTCCAAACCTTCTGCAAGTTTTGGTAATTATGTTAGACAAAGGCCAAAAGTATAGAACAGAGTGAGAGCTCTCTAGAGAAAGATATGTTTATTCAGGTTAAAGTTTAAACAATTCATCTATGGAAACTTACATACACAACACACTAATTGTTTTCTAGCAAAGTTGTCTCAACACTTTAATAGAAGGAGATGGAAAATACAAAAGTGCACAACCAATGAGTGTCCATGGGACTATGGGTGGGCACAGAAGCACAGGAGGTTGGAAGAATTTAATACAGGGTCACCGGAGTCTTGGTCCAGTGTCTTGTCCTTCAAATCACAACCTTCTTTGAGACATCATTAAAAATATTGAAGCATCCTCTGTCAGCATTAGAAATTTTAACTTTCAAATCCATGGACCAAAGAAATGAAAAGCATGATGCTGTGCATTCCAGTTGACAAATATTATTCAATGGAGATGTGTTTCTTATACCATATTTTAATAGTGAATGGAAATTTCTTCCAAATAAAAATAGGAAAGGGCAAATTCAGGGCATTCAGTTTACGATTTGATCTTCTGCTTTAAACCATGTCAAGAAATGAATGCACGAAAGGTTTAAACATCTCATGGTGTTGTTCACTAAATATAAGATTATCTTCCTCAGTGAGACAGTTCAAAGTGCTGCTTTTTATGATTTCTCCTAATAGCAGAAGTAACCACTATTCTTGGAGAAGAAAGAAATGAAATCTGCCAAACTTCAGAAGTCATGACGGCATCTAGGTCTGAGGGAAGGTTTACCCCTTAGTTATCTGCCTACATCCTATTCACACTTAAAGAATGGGGGTAAAGTTTGTTGAGTATTTTCCAGACAGTGTTTTTCACTTCTTTGTTCCTAAGGCTGTAGATCAAAGGATTTAGCATAGGAATCACCACAGAGTAAAATACAGAGGCTATTTTGTCTGTGTCCATGGACTGGCTGGAGCTGGGGTGTAAGTACATGAAGATGATCGGGCCGTAGAAGATGGACACTGCAGTGAGATGGGACACACAAGTGGAGAAGGCTTTCTTCCGTCCTTCAGCAGAACGCATCCTTTGAATGACAATGTATATGAAGAGGTAGGAGATGAGGATTACAAGGAGGGTGAAAAAGACATTGAAACTCACGGCAAAGTAGACAACCAACTTGCTGATGCATGTATTGGAGCATGAGAGAGCCAGGAGTGGAGGCATGTCGCAGAAAAAATGATTAATCTCATTAGAACCACAGAAGTAGAGTCTAAAGGCGTCTGCTGTGTGGACAGAAGCATTGAGGAAGCCACAGACGTAGGAGCCAATAGTCAGGAGGGCACACACACCTGCTGTCATGGTGGTGCTGTAATGAAGAGGCCTATATACTGCTGCATGGGGGTCATAGGCCATGGAGGCCAGGAGGTAGTACTCGACAGTGTCAGAACCCACAAAGAAGAACTGAGCGGCACATCTATTGTAGGAGATGACTTTGCTCCCTGACTGCACTGCCACCATTTTAGAAACTATGGCTAAGGAGTAACCCAGATCTACAAAGGAAAGGTTACTGAGGAAGAAGTACATTGGAGTGTGGAGGTGAAAGTCTGAGTAGATGATCACCATCATCCCCCCATTCTCAATCAGAGTGATGAGGTAGATAAACAAAAATACCAGGAAGAGAGGAACCTGAAGATGGGGATCATCTGTTAATCCCATGAGGATGAACTCTATCATTTCTGTGTTATTCTCCATTAAGGTCAACTTGAATGTACCCTGAGGATTAAAGAAGAGGAATCAATGACACTCAGATGAAAGTATAAGATGAATGATGGGATGATATAAAAATAGAAAATTAATATATATGAAGAATGTACTATGTTTAAGGCACATGCTATACCCCTCCATTATATTATAGCATTTAATCCTGTGAGATAGGTGCTATTATGCCCATTTCTCAGATGAGAAAGTTAAATCTCAAGGAGCTTAATGTTAACCAAAATAACCTAATTAGTAGGGGTCAGAATCAAAATGCACACCTTTATATTTCTGAATCCAAAGTCTATACACTCAGAGCTTGAATTATTCTGTTTACATCATATAAAAAATTATGATGGGGACAGCCCCGTGGCCTTCTGGTTGAGTTCGGCGTGCTCCACTTTGGTGACCTGGGTTTGTGGGTTTAGATCCTGGGCATGGACCTACACTACTCATCAGCCATGCTGTGGCAGCTACCCACACATAAAACAGAGGAAGATTGGCATGGATGTTAGCTCAGGGCTAATCTTCCCCAGGAAAAAAAAAAATATGATGTGTCTGATAGCACCGTTTTTAAGATTTTATTTATTTAATTTTTAAAAATCGAAAAGAGAACAGTATGAAATAAAAAGTAGAAATCCCTCATTTCTTGTCTTCTTATTCTACTTCCAAGAATATAGCCTCTATGGAGATTTCCTGACATTTTCTATGCACATATGATTATATGGTATTAATCATAGAAATCATAATAATAGCTTACTATATGCCAGGCACTGCTCCAAGGGCTTTACTTGTAGTTAGCTCATTTAATCTTCACACCAACTCTTTGGGATTGATCCCATTATTTTCCTCATTTTATACAAGGAGAAACTCTATATAAGATAATACCCCACTCCTTCATTTCCAATTTTTTGCCTTTATAAACAATGCTCTATGATATAAGACATGCAAATAGAGCATTTTGCTTTCTTATTTAAATTATTTCCAGTTGACAGTATGTCTCCTACTTGGTCTCCTTTTCCTGGCTACTATCTGCTCCTAAAACCTAGCAGCTTTTAGCTAGGACTGGAGAGCTATTATTATAAAATAATAATAACAACAATAAAATAACTATTGCCCAAAGTCACATAACTATTAAGTATTGGAAGTGGAATTAAAACCCTAGTCTGTCTGATATTAAATCCAGAGCTCTTAACTACAACTTTTAATGTCTTTATGAGTTTATCCTTCAACAGTGATTCAATAGAAATTTATATTTATATACTTACATGGAGATATATATATCTCCACCTCTTACCAGAAGTCTTTGTTATTGATCCTGGTTACAATTAAGTCCTCTCTTCTCTGCAAAGCACTTGAGTCTCGGTTGATTCACACAATTATTTGGGCAAACACCCAGCTCCTTAACTAGCTCTAAGCCCCTTGGGACACTGTCTTCATCCCCTCTGGCCCACCTAGTATTCCGTGGCCTCTTACACACATAAATAAATATTAAGTGACTTGAACAGAACATCAATAGCAAAGTGTTTAAGTATTTTTTCATGCTACCTAACCCCACAACAAACAGCTTATTGTTCTCTTGTTCCTCTGGGTCCATGTTTCCTGCAGATATATTAGCTTAGACTTGCAGTATGAAAAACATTCAGAAGTAACAGAGATTGGGGACAGGCAGGCCTGGAGAAAGGCTTGTGTTCTAATTCTAGTGCTCTGTGGCTCTCTCCTATTGTTTTTCCTTACTCTGAGGTTTTTAGGGGCTTTTCCTGTCCCTTGAAGTAGATTGGGTGAGAACAGGCTCAGCCAAGGGAAGAGAGAAAAGGTGCGGACGGAGAAAGGAGAGAGAGAAACAAGGGCCTAGAAGGAGAAAATTGCTTCAGCTCTGCTTGACTTTGGCTCACCTTGGAAAGCAACTACAGTGATCACATTGGTAAGGAGCCTTTTTTATACCACAAAAAGAAGGGGGCAGCCCAGCCTGTCCTGTTTGGATCACCATCACACACATGCGTTGTGGTTGGTATCACAAGAACTGGCTCAACCAGCTTGTGAAACACTATTAGACAGGAACCACGATGATACTCCACATTTCCAATTTTTCACCTTTATAAATAGTGCTCCAGTGAATAATACCCTTGTAGGTGTCTTCTCAAGTTTCTTTTTTTCTTTAGGATAAATCCCTAGAATTTCCTATTTTTTTCACTTTTTCACTTATTGCTAGATTTCCAATCAGGAATGTACCAATTAACTTCCCAACCAGCAGCACTTCCCATTACATTTATCCAGTTCTTTTCATTTTTCTTTCTTTTGACTTTTGGCAAGTGTGTGTACTCTCTAATTTAGCAGACAGAGTATTCTGTAATCTATAGTAGGCAGTTTCCTGATCTTACATATTAGGAAACTGAGGTATGTGGTGCCCCTCAAGGTCACACAAATACTTAATTGCAAAATCTATACAATACTCCAGAGCGGGATTTCTCAAACTCAGCATTATTGATATTATGGGCTGGACAGTTCTTTGCCGTGGGGGTGAGGAGGCTGTCCTATGCATTGTAGGATGTTTAGCGGTATCCCTGGCCTCTACCCACTGGATGCCAGTAACACACCCCCTTCCCCAGTTGTGACACCAACAATGCCTCCAGACATTGCAAATGCCTCAAACATCCCTGGGAGTGGGGGACAACATTGCCCCCAGTTGGAGACCATTGTTTTGGAGTTCATAAAACTCTACTGCATTCACGTCTTCATTTAATCACAACAATTCAATGAGTTAGATATATTATATAATATATATTACAACATACATATATATGTTATATACCTATATTCGTGTATAGATATATACATGAAGAAACTGAAACTTGGTGAGATAAAGTGGCTGATTCAAGGTCTAGAGCTCCAGCCAAATATTGCTGCTCATTGCTGGTGGGGAGTCCAGGAAGAAAAAACTGCTTGCCAAGTACTGTGGCCCTTTGACTAAAGAGATGTGCACCCTCCTATCTCAAACCAACCTCTTCCCCAACACAAGGTAGGATGAACAACCTGGAAAAACTCCAAGAATGAAAGGCAGCTGATTTCGTGTGGATTCTGAATTCTTTTCCAAAACACCTTCTCAAATGCTTGTTTGATCAATTTCCTTGGTTAATACTGACCACCTGATTATAGTCTTCTAAGCTGTAGGTCTGATTTCTAACAGTCGTCACACACTCCTATATTGAATTACCCCAGACTGCCATCTTCATACATTAGCAAACAACATTCAAGGCACTTTCTACGTTTTCCTGATGGACAACACTTTCCATTATGCATTGCAGTCACTGTTAATGAATGTGCCTGGATCCAGAACAGCAAAGAGAAATCTGGAGTCAGTGCAGAGAGAGGAAGGGCTTCTTTTGCCCGGCACCACCCTTGAAGGGTTGCAAGGCCTGAATCCAAATCCTGCTGCTGCTGCTGCTGTGTTGCCTCCCACCCAAGTCTTGCAATGACCAAGCTTTTCTACATGGGCCTAAAATAAATATCAGAAGGAGCCTTGAAAGAATAAAGACACTTTTTAAATATTTAAAGATAGTATGTGGAAGACTGCTTTATTTAATATTTCACAAATGAGAAAGTGTGTTGAAAACTGCAAAACATTAAAATATTAGGGATTATTATTGTTCTAAAGAGAGAAAGAGGAGTCTAAACCACCAAGATTGTCTGGAAATAAAAGTTGCATCAAAATTGTTTCTAAAGGGATTTGAACAATCACCGCCAGCCATCACATCCTATTTGGAGAGTTCCAAAGTAGACTTTCAACAGACAACTATTAAATTCCATGAAGAAAGAGACAAGATCTGTCACTGTTTTTTGTGAATCGTTACTCACCGCCTAGACTAGTGCCAGGCACATAGTAGACTCTTAAATATTTGTTAAATACTTGAATTAATGGGCTAGAAGCTCAACAGTTGAGTTAGAATAATAGATTAATGCTTGCTAGCTGTGGCATTATAGGCAAGTCAATTTCCCTCTATCAATAGAAGATTAAGTAAGATAAAATATGGGAAAATCCAGCTACTGTGTGGTCTGTGGTGGGTGCTCAATACACACTAATTTATTTGTCTTGTTATTAAACTGTGGGTCAATCATATGAACTTGGTTCCTTGATTTTATTAACACCAGTTGGCAGCAGCATTCTATTTAGCAATGACTATGTCAGTGGCTGTTTAAGAAATGGTGACCTAAAATTACCTACGGGAGGCTCTCTCTGTCTCAATTTCTCATGAGATATGGCAGAGGACATTGGGGAAAAAAATGGAATTGAGTCACTTTTTATCCCTTTCTCCTAGACAAATCCATTATTTCTTCCCACAGTGTGAGGATTACCGCTTTAAAAAAGGGCATGGAAAACATACCTACTTCCTCCGGCATTATGAGATCTCCATTCAGAACTGCCTTCAACTACCAGACTTTTTGAAGTCTGAAAAAGAAAAGAAAAGCTGTTTAGTCTCTGAGGACCTCAGATTTCAAATACTAAAAGATTTCCTGAGGCTGTGTGGTAAAAGTGTAAAGGCAGTTCAGCTGCCATTGCTATTTGTTTCAGAGCCTGAGTGAGTCATACCAAACTGCGTGATGGGCTGGGATGGCCTGGCATCTATGTAGATTTGGGACTCTCTGCAGGGACGTTCCCTAAGGACCCTACCCCAATCCAGGGCTCAGCGACATGCAAACAAGCACTCAAAACACCACTTTTCTGAGGGAATGAAACATTATTCTGATATGGAAGAGCCTTAAAGGCCCGGGGGGTGGGGGGAGCAATTCTTCAAGCACAGGCTAAGATTATCTATGATCAAGTTCCATCAAAAGTGCCTTCAAAGGAGCTGGAGGGTCCAACCATCCTCACTTAGCCCACGGAAGACTTTCGGTGAGTATAGAGATTTGGCTCTTTTAAGACTAAATGGAGACAAATTTTAAAATGCCAAATACAGACGATAAACTTCATCAGAATCTCCACTTTGCCTAAACTCAGC